TTTAATCCTTGGCCCCCTGAATCCTTTGAGTTGGGATGAGACTGACTTCTTATTTCAATGCTAATAAGGTCTTTCTTGTTCACCTAATCTAACATATGTGAAAAACAAAACACTGCTCAGTTCTGTTTAGAGGGTGATGAAATTGGCATGCCTTCATACTCTGCTGGTGGGAGTGTAAATAAATTGCTTCATCTTTTATGACACCTAAGCCACACACATCAAGAACTTTATACTTGTTTTAGTAATTTCACTCCTGGGAAGCTATCTTTAGGAAAACAACCATGGTACAAAGATGCTATATACAAAGATGTTCATCTTAGTGGTACTTAGAAGGAAAATTTCAAATCAAACTGAAAGTAAAACAATAGGAGAATGGTTAAGTGTATATAGTTAATACCATAACATTTAAGACTATGTAATTAAGCTTTTTTTAGTGATGATATAGGATGGTTTGTTCATGGTAGTGATATTTATAGATGGTAGTAGTTCTGGAAAATTGCAATTGCTAGATTAGGAACTCAAAACTTTACAGTATCTTCCACTTTCTACCCCCACAGTGTCAGAGATCAGTGGTTTTTACTCTGCTCTCTGACCTCACTTACTATATGAGAATCATCCTTTTAGAAATATTTGGAGAGTGTTTAGAATAAGAGTTTACATATTAATGTGGCTAGAACACTGGTTCTAATGCTTCTTTATGTAGGAAACTAAGCTGCCTTTGTTAAATTTGTTTTAATGAGCTGGATTCTTGAGATGTTTTCATTTAAAAATGTAACAATTAAAAATAGTTGATCCTCGTTCACTATTGAACATGTATTATGTTAATCATTGTTTTTCTTTTAAGTTTCTGGTCTCTCCACCAACAAAAGTTTGAATGTGGTCCAACATTTGGAGATGTTTGGGCCCATTCTTCCTCTTTTTAAGAATAAAAGTACTTGCACTCAAAAGCCTGTGCTTTCATTTGGAAGTTTATGAATTGCTTTTTAAAATGTAGTCATTAGTTCCAATTTCTTTCTGTCAGATTTCTTAAACTTTAATACAGTTTCTGAAAGATTTTTTCAAAGGAAGTATTTTTACCTTCCCAAGTCTCTAGATTCCTGCTGTCTCCTCAGTCCTGTTTATTAAACTCTCAGCTGGTTTCAGAGTTCATGCATTTCCTCTCTTTCTTCTCTAACTATGGCTAAAAATTGGCTCCAAAGATCACCTCCTATCCTAACTGCAGGGTCTCTGCTGCTGCTGCTCTGCCTCCTTGAACAACAACTTGTCACAGCACATATCTTATAGCTGTCAAAATCCTATTTTTCACACCTCATTATTTAGGGTTTGAGCAGGACTAGGGCAAAGTTTATTCTTGTGCTGTTTGGGAAGACTAGGTTTGCTAAAGGAATAATGTAAACAAGATTTCAGTAGAAACATTTGTTTTGGAAACAGTTGAAGATATAATAATTCTTTACAAATAGATTTTATCGCTCACCTTCAATTTACCTATCTACCATACAGAGGCTTATGATTATTTATTTGTAATGTTTATGAATACTTTTGTTATAATTCTTTTGTGTGTGTATGGTGCTGGGGATTGAACCCAGGGCCTTGTGCTTGTGAGGCAAACACTCTTTGTCAACTGAGCTATATCCCCAGCCCACAATTATGTCTTTTTTAAAAAAAATCTTTAAAAATATATATATTATTTGTAGTTGGACACAACACCTCCATTCCATTCATTTATTTTTATGTGGTGCTGAGGATCGAACCCAGGGCCCTGCGCATGCTAGGCGAGCTCTACCACTGAGCCACAACCCCAGGCCCCCCACCACCACAAAAAATTTTTATTTTATTTATTTATTTTATGTGGTGCTGAGAATCGAACCTAGGGCCTCACATGTGCTATGCGAGCGCTCTACCATTGAGCCACAACTCCAGCCCCACAATTATGTCTTTTAATGAAACTAAGAAAAGGAAAGAGAATTAGGAGAGGGAGAGAGAAGGACAGTAAGAGTATATGTGTGGTATCTATTTTTTATTTACCATTTCTTGTCCTTTTCATTTGTTCTTGTGGATTTGAATTACCATTTGGTGTCATTTCCTTATTCCAAAGCAATTTTATTCCCACCTGTGTGCTATGCTTTTTGTTATTATTGTCAAATAGCTTACATCTCTCTATATGTTATAAACTCCAAAATATGGATTATATACATCCTTTTCTACATTTAATTTTTAAGTTGGTTAAGAGAAGAAAGGAAAAGAAATTTATGATCATACTGCATTTTATAATTGCCTACGTAACTACTTTTATTAGAATTTTTTGTCTACTCTCAATTTCTTCCATTCTAAAGAACTTCCTTTAGCATTTTTGTAAGATAGGTCTACTAGCATAAATTTATCTCAGATTTTGTTTATCTGGAAATGTCTTTGTTTGATCTTCACTTTTTCAGCCTTAATCTTTTGGAGGGGGTACTAGGGATTAAGCTCAACCACTGAGCCACATCCCCAGCCCTATTTTGTATTTTATTTAGAGACAGGGTCTCACTGAGTTGCTTAGTGCCTCCGTTTTTGCTGAGGCTGTCTTTGAATTTGCCATCCTTCTGCCTCAGCCTCCCGAGCTGTGTGCCACCGCACCCAGCTGAGACTTTACATTTTTTAATGTCTTTATTAAAAAGAATTTTTACTAGTTATGGTTATTTTTCTGAAGATAGAATTTGAGAAGCTTTTCACACCTCCAGCCCAGCTTAATTAGGTTTGTTTCTTCAAAGGTATTTTACCTTCTGTACCTCACTGATCCACACAGCCCTTTCTTTCCTCCCTCTCAATCTGAAATAGGAGGGCTTTTACCATGGACTTAACCAATTTCAGATAAAAGAAAAATATTTTAACTTCTGAATTTATAAATGGCATTTATTTTAGCAACATGGTTTTCCTGGCATGGATGAGGGAGAAACTTGTCTCTAACCTATCAAAACCTACTAGTTTGCTGGCTAGTTTGAGTCTCTTTAAGAATTCAAAAGTGTTGCAGGGAGGGGAAGGGTCTTTGTTCTTTTGGTACAGGCAGTTCCTGCTGATGAAGAAGTAGATCTGAGCCACCTTCCTCAGCAATCACCCCCACACACCTTAATTCTTGAGCCTTCTATTTATAACACTGGCATTTGTATTTTGAGGGGGTTAATGCCAATAGCTGGTACCCACAGGGATGGTCACCAGCTACAGCTTTGCAGCAGGTTCAATATTCTCAGAAAACCCTCTTTTCAGGGATAATGCAATATGAGAAAGTTTAATCTAAAATGTTTTCTAAATGTTTTCGTATGGGTTGGGAGCTAAGAATAGATTTTTACTTTTTCATTTTTATTTTTTTACCCTTTTAAATGGTTGGGAAATATGAAAAAAGAAGATTATTTCAGGACATGTAAAGATGTGAAGTTTGAATTTGTGTCCATATATAAAGTTTTGTGGACACATGGCCACGCTTGTGTATTTGTGTATGGTCTGTGTCTGCTTTTGTGCTACAACAGCAGAGTGGAAGAGTTGCAAAAGACACTGTGAGATATGAAAGGCCAAAATATTGATCATTTGGCCCTTACAGGAAGTTAGCTGACCTGGTCTAAAATGTGTTTTAGTGGAATAATACCAGTAATTTCTTTTAACAAAATATTTTAGGATTCAAAATGTGTCATAACATGGCTGTAGAAGCCCACTAATATCCAAAAGAGAGAGGTTTCAATACAATTATTTATGTCTTAAGTTAGGATAGAAATGTCTTCCTCTAAGCAGATCTTATTCAAAAGTAAAACTTCTTAAATATATATTTCATGTCATTGAAACTAATTCCCCCATATTGTAAGTTTTCTAAAGTGGGCTGTTTGATCTGAGATCATGATATTCAGACAGTTTTCTGTGTAAGTAATGAATTTGTTTTTAATTTAGAAGAAAATTTAGTTCTTATTCTATGTCCCATTCTTGGAAAAAGAAAAAATATATCTGTCTATATTATGTCAAAACTACCTAGATACCTCCGTTAATTCATCTGACTTCTTACATTTTTTTAAACTGAACTATTTCTGGCATCATATAAATTCTTCATGTAGAAATACAGGGATTTTAAAGTCTGAAATTTTAAGTTAGTTGCATTTTATGATAGTGTAGGCAAAAGATTGATGATGATATAAGAGTGTTGTTAGAGAATTATATTTCAACCTTCAAATGTGCTAAAAAATTGAGCATAGATATAATGCTATTTAAAGATGCTTATGCTTTATAAAGAATTATGATTTTTAGTCAAACTATAATTATTCCATAGAAAAAGTATACTGTTTTACCTATTATTAAAGGTAATTTGAATTTTTTATAAAAAAACTTCAATGGATCTTTTCAAAAGATCTCTAAGACTAATCATAGTTATTAATATATGCTTCCCCAGGGCTGGGGTTGTGGTCTCAGTGGTAGAGCACTTGGCTGGCATATATGAGGCATTGGGTTTGATTCTCAGCACCACATATAAATTAACAATTTTTTAAAAATATATGCTTCTCCTAAATTTTTATTAAACAAAGTTTATATTTCACCTGTATGAAATTATCAGATTATCAAATAATACATTTTCATATATGTTGAAAGAAAAATGATATGCCATATTATAATCCTTGGTTCTCACTGGGTTCAAGTCCTTCTGGTTTGAGGGCCATAAAATGAATCAATTGATTTTTTTTTTTTTTTTTTTTTTTTTTAGACTTCCAACTCTTAACATTTCTGCCAGTGAAATTCATAGACATTTACAGGTCAGCTCAGCATTTGAAACCAAATTTCTGTCCTATTATTTAAATGATAGAGCTTTTGAAATTGAGAGGTTTCCTTTTTTATGTCTAATAGGTTTGTAGTGATATTGCATAATTTGTTGTTCATATTGAAATATCTTTTTCTTCATATCCCACCAGGTCCTACCTGCTCAAAGTCACAGCTGTGCTTCTGCAACAAGTACTTTCTGGATCATTTTTGTTTCTCTTTTTTTCCAGGCATCTAGTGGAAATTATTATTTCATCCCCTACATTGTGACACCATGCGCTGATTATTTTTGCTGTGAGAGTGACGCCCAGAGGCGAGCCTCGGAGTACATGCAGCCCAACTGGGATACCATTCTGGGCCCGCTGTGCATGCCCCTGGTGGACAGGTTCATTAGCCTCCTCAAGGACATCCATGTGACCTCATGGTAATTCTTACCAGCCACCAACATCCCTGGGAGCCTTGTAAAAATTTCCCTTTCCTTTCAGAGATGTGGTATACCTTAAAATTACCAGTATGCCCAGAGAATAAGGAGCATTGGTCAGTCATTTAAAAATCATCCTGGAATCCAGCCTCACTAATCTGAGTCACTGAGGTAAAGCCAAAAGAGAATAGAACTGGAATTAGGAGGTCAGAATTGGGCCTGTGTCTGCTCCTTGACTCCCTGTGTGACCTTGACATATACCTTCTCTTCTCTGTGGCTGTTTTCTCCTCTAGGAAACAGGGAAGTTAAATCAGTGATTTTTATTTTTAACCATCTATTTCAACTTGGAGATTCTGTTTCATGATCATTTCTGAGCATGATTTTACATTCCCTTAGTTATGGGGGTTCTTAAAATGCCCCAACAAGGTCATTCTGACCTTGAGTTCTCATATTCTTGAGAACCTACATATTTTCCTGACTTCAGGATGTACTGTGACATGTTTTCTTTGAGATTTGTATCAGAGGTAGTATGCCCTACTCACTCAGGTAGAAAGGTTTGAATGTAAGTCCTGGTAAGATGATTCCTAGCTGTGTAGCTTGGGAAAGGTCACTTCCCTTCTTTGAGTCTCAGTGCTCAGGAAACTGTACCTTCAGTGTTCTACTCTAAAAATTAAAGGCAGAAAAATTATTCTTAATCAAGCAATCCAGTTGTTTTGCTTGAAGCCAATTTAAAGGATTTATTCCTGTAAGTTGTGTCACAAGGAGGAGGATTTGTACTTCCAAAACAAATGAAAATCCAAAGGACTGGCAGAACTGGCTTGTAATGAAATGTCAAGGACCTCATGTCATATTTTGGCCCAAATCATGGCACCTTGAACCATAGAGGGTTACTACTGAAATATTGGCATGAAGTTCATACTTTGTTCTCCTTTTCTATGCCATTGCCTCTTTTTTGGATACAGACTTTCTTTTAGAGACTAGTGGGGAAGAAGACTGGAAACCTAGACACATGTGACCATATGCCAACACAAAAAGCAAATGGCAAACTTTTTGTGACACAGTCCTAGCAAACCTCATTCAGTTTTACTTTGCTAACTTTTGTCTAATTGCAAAACAAACATTTTAGTGATGTTTAGGGAGAAAGTTCTCCCAATATCATATTTTCAGGTCTGACAAGGAGGTCGGCTAACTTGAATCTTCCAGATGAGTCATACCTTTGCAAGAAATGGGTTCAAGTTTGTTTCTCATTCGGTGTATGTATGTATTGGGAGGAAAAGAACTTTTTTGATTTGTTTTAATTTCCAAGGGCTTGAAATGCCTATTAGTGGATTCCACCCCACAGTTGACTGGAGTCTTGACAATAATGAGACAGTAAATGGTACTTGTGATTGCAAACATCTGTAATCAGGATGGCAGGTAAGTTTTAAGCTCATGTGCCAATTCTGATAGATTTATAAAGTATCTTGAGTCCTGTGCTATAAAGGGCTTTGAAGCCATTTCCAAGTTCATATTGATTAGCAGCATCTTCCCTGGTTGCCAGAGGCAGAAATGGCTGCATGATTATTACTTATCTGGAGTCCCCAAACCATAATCAAGTCAGTGTTTTATTTACCTAAAAGTTACTGTTCTTATTAGATTTCTTCATTTATTAAAACTATTTTTCAGAATTACCCTAGAAAACAAGACTGAAGTATAACTTTTTACTATCAGGCCAAACTAATAACACTTTAATAGCTTTCATGCCTTTATAGTCTACCAAATGGGCAATGGCTGTCACCCAGTTTAATGACTCATTCAATTAATGACAGAATTTTAAACACTGGCAGAGTTTTCTGATTTGCTCATCATTGGGGTAATAGCAGTTGACAAATAAGGAAATAAAAATGAAAGCATTGCACTAATATTTTTACATCAAAACCCTTTCTGTGGGATATCACTTCATTCTTTAAATGTTAATTGAGGTCTTATTATAAGCATTGGACCAGGCTGTGTAATATATGCACATTTTTATGGCATAGTTTTATAATTATTCAAAATAAGTATGATTTGTTCTTATTCTATCTTGTGTTGTTTCTCTAGGAAAGATGATTTATCCTACTGTCTTTTTAAAGAAAGAGCTTAATTTTTCTCTCTACAATTAAATCATTTCAGCTTCTTAATGGGTTGGCAGCGTTACTGCTTGGCAGTGCTCATTCTCTGTTTAAAAATTAATTGGAAAATAGGCAAGATATTTAAATCAATCTGTGGTCATTGTAAGTTGGCCTCTGTACACCAAATTAGGTTGTTTTTCAAGGTTTTATTCCAAGTATCAGATACTAGCATTGACTCTGTAAGAGGCTATGGGCACATTAAGTGTGGATTTAAACTGTTTTAAATTTTTTTACATATCCACATTATTATCTAGACACCCTCATAAAGGAGATTTTTATATTTTACATTAGAATCACATTATGGCAGTCAAATAAGACAAGGGAAGTGGGGCGGGTGAAACGCAATGTTTTCTGTAAGCTTCCTAGCATGGCTTCTGTGTACCCCCTTTGGATTGCTTGGGGACATGACACCAGTTTCCAGCTGTCCTTCAACTAGTGAAACCTTCATGACTACTAACTGGGGACACTTAATAAATGAGAATATTTTTTAAATGAATTTCTGTGTATTTTATGGCTCTTGGAGTTTTGTTTGGCTTTGTGATTATCTGTTGCTGGTAGGGAAAAATAAATATTCAAGTAAGGTACCATCTTGCCTTCTATGTGGTTCAAAATACCAGAGGAAATAGATTGAGCTGTATAGAAAGTTCTGTATATTGTTTGAATATTTCAGCTTTGAGAATATTTTTAAGGTTGTAATGAGCTGGTTTTTATTTGTTAACATTATTGGCTCATTTGGCAAAATGTGAATAACAAGTTGAAGTGTCTTTAGTTTGCTGCATGAGGAGGCTCGGGTCTGGGCCAAGGTCTCCATGTGTTAGCCTCAGTCACATAAATAAGAACCATATTTGTTTGAGTGCCAAGGAGGAGGGTCCTGGATGCACATAGTCATATCTATATGACTGGAGGTTTTCCTGTTCCCCTGTCTAGTGTTTATTACAAAGAAACCTTGTTGAATGACATCCGGAAAGCCAGAGAGAAATACCAGGGTGATGAACTGGCAAAGGAGCTGGCTCGGATCAAACTCCGCATGGATAATATTGAAGTTCTGACATCAGACATCATCATTAATTTACTCCTGTCCTACCGTGATATCCAGGTATGAAATGTGCCTAACTGAGGCTAGCATATAGCAAAATTTTTCTTGGCATGAGGAACTCCTCATGTGAGTGTATTCTCACTCAGTGTATGGTGTATTCTCACTAGGTGTATTATTTTACTAGGTGTATGGTGAAGTAGCTATTTTATATAAATGGATCTGTGACCAGGTCAGAGGTCATCCAGCTTATCTATCAGGGTGAGAGTTTTAGAGAAGGGTTTTTCATATTAGGGCTGGTGTGAATGCTCCAACAAGAGACCACATATATGGCACTGCTTAGTATAAGGAATTAATAATTTAACAGTTTATATATACTTTATGCTACGCATAGTTCCAAGCCTTTTGCTAATCCTAAATTAATTCACTGTTCTTAACAAACCTATGGTATAGGTTTATTTTGTTGATCCCCATTTTTTGGAGGGGGGATACTGGGGATTAAACTCAGGGGCACTCAACCACTGAGCCACATCCCTAGCCCATGGTACCACATCCCACAAGCCCTGTCTCAAGAACTCTTCAGTAGCTTCTGAGGTCTGTTTTAGACTAAATATCTATATTCTCTGAAATATAGATTCTCTGAAAACACAGTAGCCATTTCCTGGTTGCTAGGCTTAATTTTTTCTGCCTTTGGATGAGTGGTGGTAAAAAAGTATCAAAGGCCTAAAGGACATAGCAGAGCAGAGAAGATAAGAAGGACAATGGAGTCAGTCAGCCTCAGTCTAAATCCTGACTTCACTAACTGCTGTGTGACTTTGGGCAAGTTATTTAATCTCTCTGTGCATCATTTTCCTCATTTTTTAAAATAGTTAGTATAAAATAGGCCTCAGAAGCTACTGGAGAGTTCTCAAGATGGGGCTTGTGGGATGTGGTACCATGGAGGAAAATCAGCATTTCCTCTTCTGAATGTAATGCCTTTGAGACATTCCTAAGGGAGTCTGCCTCCCTTTTCTGTGGCACACGGAGTAATGTGCAATACTTATAGACTCCTATAAAGCTACATTGGAAGTTGTTGGCCATGTTTCTTTAAATATAAATAATGGAGATATCCATTTATGCCTTGGACCAAGAAGAGTCAACTGCTAAGGAACTCATACCTCTAGTGATGAACAGATGCAACTAACTGATTTTAGTAGCAGGTGCCATTAGGGATTGTGATAATGATTAAAGCATGCACCGTTGGCCAAGGATTAACCTTTCTTGAAGGTTTTCTTCCCTTGAATTCCTGGCTTCTGCCTTCCTTCTGCCCTTGCCTTCAGGTATTATCACTTTATTTCTTCTTCTTTTTTTTTTTTGTATCCCTTCATTTCTTAACCTTTCATTGATGGGCCTCTTGGGCTCAAATGTGAGCCAAGAGATCTGTGGAATCCACTACTGTCTTCTCTTTCCTAGGCCAGTAGTATCAAATGCAGAGCCATAAGACAGGTTTGGGATTTTAGTAGGAAACCCTCCTCTTCAACCATAGCTGGCAGCAAGTTGGCTAATACCAATGATTGTAAGCCTGGCTAAAATGTTAACTGGTAGCGCTACTAAGAGGGGACCCAACTGAGACACACATGGTAGCAATTTTTTCCTAGATGATTATGTAGCATTTAGACCAGTGGTTCTCAACCAGGAAGCATCTGATAGCATCTAAACACATTTTAGTTGTCAAAACTCTGTGTGTGTGTGTGTGTGTGTGTATGTATGTATGTTTTGCTAGCTTCTAATGAGTAGAGGCCAGAAATGCTACTGCCTTTACTATAGTGCACAAGTCAACATCCCACAATAAAGAATATTCTGGTTTAGATTAATTTGACTGATTATGATGAAACAAGAAGGGCTAAGGTATTTTTTCCCTTTACATGGGAAGTTAACTGTAGTTTTTCTTATGTGTATGTCTAGCTCATTTTAAAATAGCTTTTCTGGGTGGTTTTAATCCTTTTCCACTGAAAACACAGTAGCCATTTCGTAGTTGCTAGGCTCACTTTTTTTTTTCTGCCTTTGGATTTAACAGTTTTTCCTCAATCCCTTTGTCCTCTTTGGTAACAGGAATTTCTTTTCTGCCCTCTCTCTCTCATTTATCTTACTTTCTGATTTTTTTTTTTGTTCTAGTGAAGGTTACAAGTAACTTCACTAAACACTCTATGCAAGGAAAGTTTTGTCCTAAAATCTAGAGACTGGCTTATGTTTATAACTATTCAGAAAAATCTACAAAGACCTGTTTCTTCTCTTTTTCACCTTGAGATCTCTCACCAACAGGACTATGATGCGATGGTCAAGCTGGTAGAAACTCTGGAGATGCTGCCTACATGTGATTTGGCTGATCAGCATAACATTAAATTCCACTATGCATTTGCAATGAATCGGTAAGAATGATAATGTATGTGTAGGGTTCCCCCCCCCATACCAGTGATTGAACCCATGGCACTTAACTACTGAGCCACATCCCAGCCCTTTTTTGTATTTTATTTACAGACAGGGTCTCACTGAATTGCTTAGGGCCTATGCTAAGTTGCTGAGGCAATTCTCCTGCCTCAGCCTCTTGAGCCACTGGGATTATAGGAGTATGCTACCATGCCTGGCTGTGTAGGGTTTTGAAACATGCTACCTATTGAATTCTGCTTCCTTCTTTTGTTTAACATTCAAGTATAAGCCAGGTCATGTGCTAAATGCCAAGGTCACGGAGATAGGCAAGGCACAATCTTCCTTCAGGGACTTAGTCTTTGGAACATGTATTCTAGCTGTGAGATCAGACACGTAAAAAAAATCCTAATAGCTCAAGGTGGTACATTGTTTAATGAAAGTTTGTCCAAAGTGATAAGGAAGTATAGTAGAGGGAGGGAACCATTCTACTTGGGGGTTTTAGAGAAGCTTATTCACGGGGATGGTGAAAACATTATTCCATTTGGCCAGACCAGAGTATGAGCATAGAGTTCTTCATACACAAGGTGCCTTCAGGGAACATCCATTGAAACTAGAACACAAGATGCAGTGTGGCAAATGCATGTGATGAAGCTGAGACCATGGATGGAGGATGGGACCACGTCTTGAGAGGACTTTGCATGCGTGAATAAGGAGTTGATATTATCTTGTAGACTGTGGATGACTAGTTTAAGTGACCGGATTGATGTTGTATGTAAGGAGAAAGAACTTGGGAATTCAAACTTCTGGGCTAAGCAGAGTGTGAAACTTGGAAATTCATGCCTGGAGATCATAAGCCTCAGAAACTTCACTGGTAAGGTATTAGCTAAGATTATATAACAAAAAAGCCACAAATGCAGTAATTTAAATTAGATTGAAATTTCCCTTTCACGTGGCAGGCTAGAGTGAACCAGCCTAGCACCCAGCCCTGCTTCAGGAGTTGTTAAAGCACTTAGCATCCAACTACTGTAGCTCTTTTCATCCCCTAGAATGTTGGTCTTATCTGCATAGTTGAAGCTAAGTTACTGCCACTCAGTGTTCCACCCCGACTCCATTCCATAGGTAGGAGAGGAAACCCAGGGCAAGTCATTTCCTTTAAAGCAAGTAGAATTTACACATGCCACTTCTATCACATTCCATTGGTGAGCACTCAGTCATATGACTCCATTTAATTACAGGGGAAGCTGGTAAGTGTAGTTTGTAGCAAGGTAGTCATATACCCAGCCAAACTTGGCTACTATGGATTTGCAGGATAACTAGAAGTTTGCCACATTCAACCTCACAAGGCTCTAGATGCACTTAAATGTCTTTAGTTCTACCTTCTCCCTTTCTCTGTTGATAATCTATAGGAAGAGAAGCAGCATTAGGTGAATATCATGAGAACCATTCCCTGATACACTCCTTATTGGGCCTGAGCTGGGAATTAATTATGTCAAATCATACAGCAGAGTAACTCTGGGAGGGTATTCAAACTTATCTTGAGAGCCAGAGAGTTCTGGCACCTCCTTATCAACCTTCCATAACTGATGTCTTCAACAGGGAGTGAACGAGATGAGGGTTGAGGATGAACTAAGTTAGAGGACTGCTGTATTGGATTTCCCAGTTTCAGAGACTATGCTTTGCCTCAGCAGTTGAATTGGGCTATAGGTTGTTGACTTGCCATTGGCAGTTTCTGCAGGACATCAGCAAAATAAGAGCTTATGGCTTTTTGAACCTTGTAATACATGTGAGGTCACACTTCTCTCTCTTAAATCAAGGCAAAATTTATGATCACTGAAATGCATAGATCTGAAGTGTATAATTTGATGAGTCTGACAAATGAATACACACATGTAAATAACACCCCAATCAAAATAGAAAATATTTCCATCACTCCAGAAAGAAGTTCCTAGTGTTCTTTGACAGCAGCCCTCACACTTTTATAGGTCAACCACTGTTGTACCTTCTATCTTCATAGGTTAGTTTTGCTTGTCCTTGAACTGTTATCACTTATGAGGTTCTTGGAAGAAAGCTTAGCACACTGTAAGTGCTATAAAAATTGTCTTATTAAATAAAAACTGAGAGCCGTGTAAGTTATTCATTGCCATGTATTTTCCCCAGACAGAGTAGAGGTTAACTATTGTCAGAGAATGAAACAATTGATTACTGTCTTCTCAAGAGAATAAAAGAGTAAAAAAGATGTGTTAGTCAGCTTTCTGTCACTGTGACAAAACACCTGAGAAAAACAACTTAAAAGAGGGAAAATTTATTTTGGCTGTTTCAGTCCACTTGTCTTCATCACAGGTGGGCTTGTGGTGAGTCAGGATGTCATGGTGAGGAGCACATGGTGAAGCAAAACTGCTCACTTCATGGTATCCAGGAAGCAGAGAGCTAAGAGACAAAATATCTCCTTCAAGGACATCCTCCCAGTAACCTGCTTCGTCCAACTAGGCCCTGCCTTCTACAGGTCATATCACCTCCTAATAGCACCACAGGTTGACAACCAAGTTTTTAGCACATGGCCTTTGGGGAAAATTTCACATGCAAACCAACAGGTCTTGAAATAGAAAATGGGTAACTAAGAGGTGATCCTGAGATGAATGTGCTTCCAATTTAGAAGCTGAATGGCCAGGATTGCATGCCAAAGAGCCATCTTTCTCTTTGCCTTCTAGCCTGATTTCCTCCTGTTAGACAGAAGCTCTGTATTGTAAGCCAGGCAGGATACTTGATGCTGAGAACCCCCTGCACCAGACTAAGAATTTTCTATAGAATTGCAACATTTGCTTTATTGATATAGGCAATCCAGTTCTGATTTTTTTCACTTTTTTTCTTTAGATTCAACTTGGACATCTGTCAGGATAGTTTCAGTAGGGTTTAACATTGTGTACAGTTTGGGGGAATTTTATGGCGTTTCCCATAGGGGGAAAATAGTCATGGGTAAAAAAAAATGAGCCTTCCTGCATTACTGTTGACCTTTAACTCTTAGGAAGTGGAGCAAATCATTGTCATGAATTAGTTACTAAAGGTTGAGAGAAATGAATGACGTTTGACACTCAGATGGCAAGGTAAGGTCTCCCTGTCAGTGGGAAAGCTGGTTTGAGCCGGCCAGCTTTTCCTGGTATCTTCCACTTCACTGCATTCAGAAGCTCATTCAAAGATACTTCAGGTTTCCACTGAACAGTTAAACTACTGCCTCTCAATGGCATGGAATCCTTTGTGAGCAATTGTTGTTTGCTGTTGCTTTTACAGATAGGACTTTATTACTTACACTAATGCATGCAGAATATTCTGACTGGGGATCCAGTCAGTAGGCACAATGGTCCAGAAGAGAATATGAGAATCAGGCTTAGATTTAAAATAAAATAAAGTTTGCCTGTTGCAAAATAGAAGGCATGTACTCATATTCTCCTTCCTGCATCTTTTGATCAAGACCAGCAAAAGTTACCTCTGAATTGCTTAGCACCTGGAGGGGAAACTGAATGTATAATGCATTTATTGGAATAAGTAAGTTAAACTGAGTGATAGAGGAAAATGCTCTTTGGGCCCTAGAAATAAATGTGGGGGAGAATAGATGAAAGTGACTGAATCTACCCCACATCAGAGGGTCTCTGTGCTTGCTCCAGAACCTATGGCTGGCATCTGTGTCTCCTCCTCTGAGATTGCCAAAACATTGCTTGGGTGAAGGGACAGTTTCCCTAAGAGGCAGTGTAGGTTCATCACCTCTTCAATAGCTATCAGTCTCCTTTTGTCTCTTTGTTTATTTTCACTGTTCAATAGCACCATCTTCATTTCTAGATTTGTATAAAATTCTTTATTCTATGTTTATCCAAAGTAGAAAAATGAGATCTACCCACTGTTACATAGTGCATTGTTTCCAGGCACTTAAAAACATTACAAAAGGAGATAAATTTGTTGTTGCTTTCTCAGTAGCAAAGATAACCACAAAATCTGTTGACTTAGACAGAATTATGTAGTCCAAACTCTGTTTAGAGAGGATGGAGAAAGAAATAAAAGGAGAGGCCCCAAATATAATAGCTGGTCAGTAAGAGATCTGGAACCAGAACTAATTTTGGCCCAGCATGCTACAGACACTGATTCTTAAAGCTAAGGTTAATAATTCTATGCCATAATTACACTCTTCCCAGCAGACTTTAGCTTACATTTTATTTGCCTGCAGAACAACCAAAATAAGCCATTGGCTTCCACTTGAAGTATTAGGCCCATCCCTTTCTATGTCCTGGTTAGTCATATGTTGTTTCAGTCATTTTTTTTTTCTGGTCACTGTGACCAAAAGACCTGACAAGAACAATGTAGAGGAGGAAAAATTTATTTTGGCTCATGGTTTCAAAGGTTCAGTCCCTGGTGGGCTGACTCCATTATCTCTGGGCCTATGGTGAGGCAGAATATCATGGTGGAAGGAAAAACAACAAGGTTGTTGCCGTGTCCTAAGCTGTTTCCTCCACCATGATATTCTGCTTCACCCCAAGCCCAGAACGAATGGAATCAGCCTACCATGGACTGAACCTTTGAAACTGAGCGAAAATAAACAACATAAAATTAGTCATCTGAACCATTTTTAAGCACACCATTCAAAAGTGTAAAATAAATTTAAATTATTGTGAAACATCTCTAGAACTTTTTTTTATCATGTACATCTGGAACTCTGTAGCCGTTATAATTCTCCACTTTTCCTGTCCCTCAAGTTGCTGACAACCACCATTCTACTTTCTGTCCCTGAATTTGACCACTAGATACCTCAGATAAGTGGAGTAACACAATATTTGTCTTTTGTATGTGCCTTATTTGACTTAGCATTATGCCTTTAAGGTTCATCTGAGTTGGAGTATATATTAGAATTGTCTTTGTTTTTAAAGCTGACTATATTCTGTTGCATGGATAGATCACATCTTATCTATCCTTTCATCCACCAATGGACATTTAGATTGCTTTTTAAAATTTTTTTTTA